GTTAACCAGGACTGCTGGTAAATGATGGTAAATAAGTAGTTAGATTGTTGTATTTAATAGCTTGGAATAATTTTTTGTTCTGAATTATTGAGAGCTGTGTAGATCACTACTGAGCACTGAACTGGCATTTCACGGAGCCAGATATTGTGGCATTTATTCCTACATTTTGTTTCTTAAATTTCAGTTCATTTTTTGTCCAGGTTAGGTTGTTTCTTTTTATCCCAAGCAGTTTGCTTTCTCTAAAAGCCCTTAGGAAGGAGTCTTGTGAAGTGCCTTTTGGAAATGTAGTCTCGTTGATACAACCTAACTCTGTGTGTGCGCACATGCACTGAAATATTGGAAGAACTCAGTAGGTTTGTGAGGTGGGATTGCTTTCACAACAGCAATGTTTGCTTTTCCCCAATTACTTGCTCATGTGTCAGTTGACCCTGTTCTAATACAACCAACTTGCCTAGTGCATATACAAGGCACTGAGATTTGCTGATTAAATGTTACAATTTTAGTCTCTATTTTTTTAATTTCAGTATTGTCTTTTTTTTCTTTAGGCAAGTTATGGAGTCGAAGCTTGAAGTTAGCGTATACCCTGCTAAACAAGCTAACCACTAAGAATGAATCACTGCTGAAGCCTGGAGACCGGGTAGGCTTCTGTTTGAAATGGTCTCTATGGACAAAACAGACAGTGAGGAATAGCTTTAGCTAAAGAAAGCCTTGTAATACTGTGACTTGTAATAGTATAGAAAGCAGCCCTCCCCCCGCAAACGATGACAAAAAACATTTTTTGTTATTTTAATGTATTTTTATAGGTAGCTCTCGTATTTCCTAATAGTGATCCAGTTATGTTTATGGTGGCATTTTATGGATGTCTCCTGGCAGAACTTATTCCTGTCCCAATAGAAGTTCCACTAACAAGAAAGGTAGGCAAATACATTTTTATGGTTCCGTAAATAAATAAAGTGGGTGGGTATCTAAATCCTATAGTCCGTATATGGGACTCCTCAGAGCCTGCACTTTTGAAAGCAGTATGGTGCATCAGCTGAACTACTCAGTGCACATTACATGCTTGGAAAGTGTTTAATATTTAGTTAGGGAAGGGGGGAAATAGTATGAAGCTAATAAGTTAACTATTTTAGGATACGTAACTGTAGAAATTATTTTAATTAATTATTTTTTAAAAGATGTGTGAAAGTATTTCTCAAAATATAACACGGAAATGCTGTCTTTTTAGCTCTCATGCTGAGTAATGAGAGCACAGGTGGGTAGAGACACTATAGTTACTGGAAATATCAGTATAATCCCACACACATTGAGATTATTAGGGAAGACCTGAAAAGCTACAGGCTCTGCTCTTCAGTGTCTCAGGACTCAGAAACAGCATCAAACCATCTGTTTTACCAGAACTTATAAACAACCCTGTTGGGTTGGAGAGGGATGCACAACCATTGCTTTTGACAGTACTTTGCTACCATTACTTGCCAGATCTACTGCCAAATCTGACTTAGCTGGCACTAAGCAAAACTAAGCCCTTTGAACGTATACTTCATTCTTTTGTCTTCCATAAAAGGTCTGATGGGCTAGAAGTTTGGTTTTTCCTGTGATATCAATTGGCTTAATATTTTCTAAACTTGGAAAAGTTACGATACAGAAGCTTCATTATTTATAAGTTTACTATAACATGGTTTCTCTGTAGGATGCTGGCAGCCAGCAGATTGGATTTCTTTTGGGCAGCTGTGGAGTAACACTAGCTTTAACCACTGATGCCTGTCAAAAAGGCCTTCCTAAAGCTCAGACTGGCGAGGTGGTTACATTCAAAGGTATGTTTTTAAGCTACTTAAATTTCTTTATAGGATTAAGAGCAGGTATATCCATTGTTGCTATTAAACAACAATTTTTGAGTTTGCTTGCATGCTTCTAGCTTACATATAAAGAACTGCCTTCATTGTCAAGACAGTACTTAGTGCTGCTTCTTCTTGTCACGGGCGTGATGCTGCAGCTTGTGCTTGCCTCCTGTTGCTATCCCTGAATACTGGGAAAAAAACCTGATTTTTGGAACTGTAATGACAGTAACTTTTCTTTTTCTTTGAAGGGTGGCCTCGTCTCATTTGGTTTGTGATTGATGGGAAGCATCTGGCAAAACCAACTAAGGACTGGCATCCGCAAGTACGGGATGCCAGTGCTGAGATTGCTTATATTGAGGTGATCCAGTATAATATGCCTAACTTAGAGTTACTCTATTGATGCGTATATGAGAGTTTCGTATGATGCATATATATGAGTTACATCTCTTGATGCAATAAAAGAGATGACTATAATATTTTTAACTGTGGAACAAAAATGTTTCCCTCAAGGTTGCCAGGCAAACTGTCATTTGAGTGGTTGTGTTGAAATAAATTGAAGATTGGGGATAGCTGGCATTTTTGGATCCCTGGGACAATTTGTTTAATTGGGGTAGAGAAACAGTCAGATTTCATATGATATTCGTATATTCTGTGAACATAATAGTATATTCTCTGAACATAAATATATCTTTTATGCTAGCTTTTTGATTTTTTTTTTAAAAAGCTCACTTCATTTTTATAATAAAATATCCTTTCAGTGCACTACTGTAAATTTTCAAAATTTTGGTGTTAATCTAATGCTTGTGTAAACTTTCTCTTTTCAGTACAAAACAAGTAAAGAGGGCAGCACAGTGGGCGTTACTATATCTCATGCTTCCATGCTGGCACACTGTCATGCATTGACTCAGGCATGTGGTTATTCAGAAGGTAAGTTAGATAGGTGCAACTTTAAAATTATACTCATAGCTTTGGACATTCAGACAATTTATGTTGCAAAATCATGTTTACTGTCTTAAAAGAACTTTAGATAAGCAGTAGTAGCTTTAACTGCAAAGGGAAAGACAAACTTCCTCATTCATAATCGGTGTGATATGTGAAGGAAAGTAAGAAGCCACTTGTGAAATCATAATCAATGTGTATTAATTTTTTTTTAACCTAAGATCCTTATCAATTTTATTTAAGGATTTGGATTTTCCAATCTTCATAAATTTTTTAGTTGGTGGTAAGAGCTATACTGATTTTTTTCATCCTCTTGAAAACAGCTTTGCTACAAATCTGTTTTGCCCTCCCTAATGCCTTTTGAACGCACTGGCCACTTTATGAAGTCATAAGGGGGCCAGTTTGAGATGTCCATGTGGAGAGTCAGAGGAGCCCTCCCAGCAGAAATTAAGACAGCTTTCTTAGACTGATCCTAGAGGCCATTTGGGTAGCTTGGATCTCTTTGAAGAGCTTTGGATGCTGCCAGTTCCAGCTGTAGCTGCTCTAACAGTGCAGAGTGGTGTGCCATGCAGACAGGCTGGTGTCAGTTATGCAGCTTCTTATCTCTCAGGAGAAAGAGTTGCGGTTATTGACCAAAGGGAGAAGGCCCTTTGAAGTCTTGACTTGAAACCCAGTAATGACTAAGTGAGATGTAATACGCATCATAGTCCTTATAAATCTTCTATTTTGTGATTTCTAGGAGTGTGACACTTGACCCCTGAAAGAGAGGCTTGATCAAGAAGATCTGAGAGCTACCATATTTAAAAACACCCTGACTTGCTTGGCTTTACTGCTCTTGCAGCTTTGATGACCCTGCCTGCCTAAATAACAAAGTTGAAAGTCTTAGCGCAAGTCATCTGGTCCAATTACTTGAACTAGGTCTGTGATTCTAGATAGCGCATTTGAGGGCATGAGCAGATTGTTAACAGTTGCTAACTGTCCTCCCTTGCACTTTTTTTTTTCCTTCTTCCTTTGGGCAATTGGTTTATGCCTGTAGTGCTCCTAAGTCCACATAAGTAGTATGATAGGGTAAAAGAGGTTTTCACAGTCAGATATCTGTACTCTTTTTACTTATCATCAAAGAGGATGCTTTCCCATTTTCATTTTGGGACACCTTCCCATCACAGCTGCCAGCTACCAAGAACTGTGCTGGAAGAGGGGAGGGTGCACCCAGCTTGTAGGTAAAGGATTGTACAGTGGTTCCTGAATCCTGAAAGGATGATGGCAACCAGTTATGGATTGAAGGGGTCTACACATCTTGATTTTTAGACAAATATGGAGTAGTGTTGCTAGCCATTAACATTTCAGATCTTCACAGAGGGTACTGAATTCTCTTGTCCTCTTGTATGTGCATTTTTCAAATTTCTGTTGCCACATGGTAGAGGTGCTGTCACGAGGTTTGTGTTCTGTATAGACCATATCCAGTATAAAGATCTCCATTTTGTTTATAGCTTCTTGCAGCTTCACAATTTTGGCCACAGTAGTTCCTATTTTCAGAAAGGAAGGGATCTTCCTATTAGCTAATCATGTCCTACAAAAGAACATCTCCATAAGGATTTGTTTTCAGTCATTCTCTCAATGAATAGCCAAGAACTGCACCTGATTTTGACCATGTGCATAGAGTTCATCTGTGCTACCATTAACCAAAAATTTGGATTTGAAATCTGTTTGCTTGAAGAATCTCATGGTTTGACTAGGTTTTATCCCATAATGAGATAGTGTGTGCTAATGTATCTTGGGACACACAGAACGGTTGAGATTGGACCTCTGGAGGTCATCTGGTCCAACCCCTCAGCTCAAGCAGGGCCACCTAGAGCCAGTTGCCCAGGACCATTTCCAGATGGCTTTTCAGTATCTCCAAGGATGGAAATTCCACAACCTCTCTGGGCAACTTGTGCCAGTGCTCAGTTACCCCCGCATAAAGTTTTTCCAGATGCTTCAGACCCTTAGTCGTCTTAGTGACCCTTTGCTGGACTCACTTCAGTAGCTCCATCTCTCTCTTCTATTGGGGAGCCCAGCAATGGACACAGTACTGCAGGTTGTGGCCTAACCAGTGCTGAGCAGAGGGGAAGGATCACCTCCCTTGACCTGCTGACAACGCTCCTCCCTTCTTTGCTGCAAGGGCGCATTCTGGTTCATGTTCAACTTGGTGGCCACCATGAACCCCAGGGCCCTTTCTGCAAAGCTGCTCTCCAGACAGTTGGCTCCCAACATGTCCTGGTACATGGGGTTATTCCTCCCCAAGGGGCAGGACTTTGCATTTCTCCTTGTTGAACTTCATGAGGTCCCTGTCAGACCATTCCCTCAGCCTATCGAGGTCCCTCTGGATGGCAGCACAACTCGCTTTGTGTCATCTGCAAACTTGCTGAAGATACACTCTGCCCCATGATGCAGATCATTAACGAAGGTGCTGAACAGAACTGGAGCCAGTATTGAGCCCTGGGCTACACAGCTAGTTACTGGTCTTCAAGTAGACTTTGTGCCACCAATCACCACCCTCTGGGCCTGGTCATTCAGCCAGTTTTCAATCCACCTCCCTGTCTGCTCATCCAGCCCATACTTCATCAGCTTCTCTATGAGGATCATACAGTCTATCGTAAGATGCTGTGAAACTGGTGGCTGATTTCTCCAGCAAATTCAGTTCCATGCAGTTCACTTTTCCTGAAGGTTGAAAAGAATTGTGGGTATGGAAGATTTGCATTTCCTTATATACAGGCTCATGTCTGGGACTACACACCTGTCTCAGAGCAATTGGAGCTCTCAGTCACGCAGAGAATGGATATGTGGCTGACTCACAGAAGTATTTTATTTATTGGGAAATATCTGTGTACATTCTGAAAACTTAAAAAGAATAATAAGTACCCCGAAGAACACTTTCTTGTGCCTGCAGCCATCCTACGTCAGTGATAAGCAGATTTCACCTGGTCAATATAGGATATCCCTCTAAAATCAGGTTAAATCTTTGATTTAAAATCTTTGATTCTATTTTTTTAAATCACATAAGGTGTTCAGATTTCTCAGAGAAAACACTGAAGAGAATTTAGTACAGCCATGGTAATATTTTTAACTTTAATTTTTTCAAATATAGCTGAACCTTTTCAGTTCAGCTGAAAAAGTTTGCATCAAAACTAAAGTTTCGGGCTGCTTAGTTCATTGGCAAATGTAACAAACACATGGAAGTGGTATTATAATGAAAACGGGATCTTAAATATCTTGTAATAATCTAGTCTATAATCATAATTTAAAGATGATTGTTTTAAGTAAAATAAGACACTTTCAGCTTAAGCAGCCTGTTTGTTATAGACAAGAAGGTATGGCAACATAGCTTTGATTTCTGGTGGTGTTGGAAGTTTCATAGTTGCTTTAACAGATATTTTGAGTTCTTAAATATTCTCATAAATACGCTTCTTAAGTCTGATAGTTTTTCCTTTGCTTTCAGCTGAAACACTAACAAATGTCTTGGATTTCAAAAGAGATGCTGGCCTTTGGCATGGAGTATTAACAGTGAGTATTTGAATGAATGAAAGAAACTGCAGCAAGTTGCTTCTCTCAGGGGTAGAGTATTGGTATCAGAACGAGGTCAAACTCTCAAACTATTTATATTTCAGTATTTGTATTTTTCAGGATGAAGTGTTACTTTTTCAGCAACACACTGCACAGGCATAGCTAATGTTTTTACTGACTATACATATAGTTTTCACTAACAGTTAAATGTAAGAGTTACGCTGTAGCTGTGATGATTTTTTTTTTTTTGAAGTATTGGTACATGCTGTGTATTCTTTGAGCCACTTGAAAGTTTATTTTTTAATATTTTTCTCAGAGTGTTATGAACAGGATGCATGTCATCAGTATTCCCTATGCATTAATGAAGGTTAATCCACTTTCCTGGATACAGAAAGTCTGCTCATACAAAGGTATCCTTACAGTATTTTTACTTAACCCATCTCTTTTTGGATGATTAAAAACAAAAAATACATTTGTTTGTATAAAATGTCTGCTCTAGCTGAGGCCACTGCTGTTTTATCCAGCTGACTCTGCCACAGCTTTAGTGATTGGGTACTGCATTTCAGTATTACATGTACTGATAGATTCATTGATGAGTGACGCTGATGGCTTCTTCTGATAGACCTTTAAAGAAACCATGTTTCTCATCTTAGTATTTGAATTTATAGTAAACATTTAAATTCTAGAATCAAGTCCATTTGGAGACATTGAGTATACACGTGTCATAGTAGTTAAATATTTGGCATTTGTATTTGTTTTCTATGTTTGTAATTTGTTTCATAAATTTATTTAAATGCACAAAAATATTTCTATAATTTTATAATTGGTCTTTATTTTGTTTTGCACACACATCTTAATTATTTTTTTTATTTTCAGCCCATGTAGCAGTAGTAAAATCACGTGATATGCACTGGTCACTTTTGGCTCAGAGGGATCAGAGAGATGTCAGTCTGAGCTCTTTACGAATGTTAATAGTGGCAGATGGAGCTAATCCATGTGAGTATAGATGCATTTTCTGAGTGTCAGTGCAAGGTGAACTAAAGCACACTGTAAATCACAGAACTCTGGGTCTGCACTGTAGGAGCTCAGCACTGGCTATAGTTCATCTTCAGCAAAACGGAGACAGCAGCACTATTTCTTTGCCAAGGACACTGGAGCGAAACTTTCACAGAAAATGTTCTGAAGGATCTATTCTTTATATAAAGAATAGTTGGCAGTGTAATTTGAAAGAGGCTTTTAAAATTTCAAGTAAATCATAATGCCAGTTTTGAAGTAGTTGCTCATGTATTGCATGTAGACGTAAAATCTTTGAGTTGCAGTGTGTCTGATTCTGTACGTGCCCCTAGGGCTTGTCTCAATCATGTGCAAGGACATAAAAATGGGAGCAGTCACAGCCTTAACTCAAAACCATGACAACTATTAACTAGAGTATGCGGTAGGTTCTTGCCTTTTTCTGTCAATCATATGGTGGTGGTTAACAGTAAATGGGAGGGGGTTTTTTTGCAACAGGCAAGAATATACCTTAGTTGCTTAATTTTGCTGTTCTTGTACACCAGAAAATCAATAGTATTTCAGATTTCTTGGAGTTGCATGATGAGAGGTCAGCAAGTTGTTATGGCAGAAGATGAAAGCTTGAAATGGTCTTGCTAAGATTGTATTTGTTGTAAGCACTGTTTCAGAGCTGATGCTTAGAAAGTTAGGCAGTTTGTTCTATAGTAAAATACTATTTGTATGCTAGAGATGCCACTGCTTTTTCATTGCTGTTTGCACTTCTTAGCTCTATGTAGCTGTGTAAATTCATTTTTTTTAACTTTATATTTTCATCAGTGCTGTACTCTTACATGAATTGACATGAAATTATACCTAGGTTGTAGGATAATCAGTGAAGTTTGCTGGTTTGCCCTATGAGCTGCAATTCCACCACTGTAAAATACAAAGCTGTAGGTGATGAGGTATCCTCTTGCATTTTGAGCTGAGTGCTAAAGGCCAGGTAGAGTTCTGAACTGAAGTGAAGATATGTCAGAAGCATTTGATGTTAATTTCTTAAGTGCTTTGGTTCTGTGACCTCTATAAGAAACAGTCATATAGGAGCTATATAGGAAGCCTACAGATACAGTTACCCTTAGTGACAAAATATTCTGATCACTGAAGGACTTTCTGTGATGTTAAGTGTTACAGAGTGCTGCCAGAGAAAGAGAGTATGCAGCTGTGAATTTCATTCAGTGAATTAGTTACTAACCACTGAAAGTTTTTTCTCCAGATCTAACATCTAATAGTAGGCTGGAGTGTCTTTTAGGCAGTTTGAAAGTATATTGGTTTTGTGCACGGATGCAACCATATATGTATAGCTGAGCTGAGAGTAAGCATAGACTTTGAAATGCTGCATCTCAAGCTTTCCTGCCCTTGGCAAAATGTTTCCGATTGTGTGATTGTTCTTTTTAGGGTCAATATCTTCCTGTGATGCATTCCTGAATGTATTTCAGTCCAGAGGTTTGAGACCAGAAGTAATCTGTCCCTGTGCTAGTTCTTCAGAGGCACTAACTGTTGCTATTCGCAGGTAATTCTCTTTTCTGAGAAGTGAACTGAAGCATTTCTTGACTATTGAAATGTAGCTGGTGTTAAAATGGTAATCAGAAAAGACGATTACCCACATAAAGATGCCCAAAGACCTAGGCAGAGGGAAGTCTGAGACTCGCAGCTATCTCCTTCACTGAAGGATGGGTGATTTTTTTTTTTGTTTCTTTAAAAAGTTTAATATTTTCTAAAAGTAGTCAACCATAAGGTTGGTTGTTTTGGGGTTTTTTCACTGCTTGGGAAAGACAGGTCTCATCCTCACTGATGTTCCTGGAGGACCTTTACAAAATGCCCCAAAAATCAAGACTGTCACTTATTTGGGAGGGAGAAGATGCTGAATATTCAAGTAATTGCTTACTACGATGTGTTGTAAACAGGGGGGTAAAGAAAGAAAAAAATATTTGTAACTGGCCTGAAAAATACCATTGAATTTCTGGACGCAGCAGGGGATGCTCTGAAAAAAGGAAATTCTTTGATTATGAATAGAAGTATGGATGGAATATGCCAGAATTTTTTGACAGTGGTTTTGATCAGAATGTGCTTTTTCAGAAAATCAATTTCAAGAAAACTTGAAACAAAAAAATTTGAGATTTTGGAGAGTACTTTGTCTGGTGGGAGAACTTACATTTCCCTTAAAAAAACTTAAAAAAAATGTACTTGAAGAACTGGATTTTTACAACAGCACCTGGAATCTTTTGTTCTGTTCCATCTTGAAAGTTGAACAGTTACACAAAATGGAGTTGTTGGTCCTCAATCAGTTCTGCTCAGAGTAAGAAGTGTCAAGCCCTCCAAACACTTCCTAATTTTTCCTGGTGTTTAGAAAATTTAGCCTTTCAATGCTGATTTTTGACACTTCTTTGCCCATAGTAGTACTAAATCCTATCTGTAACATTTTAGAGTGAGAGGAAGCTGTGTGATGTTTTGTTCTAGCTCTTTTTTCATCTAGTTAAAATACATTACCGGTCTTGAACTCTTGTTTGTTTAAAATGAGGAACCATTATTTCTCTTAACCTTAACAAACCTGAGAGACTTGCACAATGTTTTTGATGATCACATTGCCATTGGTCTGTTGATTCATACATGATTTGACTTTCTGTTTTTCAGACCTCCAGAATTGGGTGGGCCTCCTCCAGGAAAAGCAGTGTTATCTATGAATTGTCTGAGTTTCAGCGTGATAAGAGTCGATACAGAAGAGAAGTTGTCGGTGTTAACAGTACAGGATGTTGGTCAGATTATGCCTGGAGGTAGGAAAGCATTTCATGTAGGTTTAAGCATACTCCACATAAGTTATCTTTACTATTATATTTGTGAATGAAATAAATAAAAATGTCAAATGATGAATACCTTCAGGGTAGTATGGTTTACATTTTGACGGGTTACCTAAACACATGACGATTAAGTACTGTCTCAACTAGATTATTCAATGTTTTCAGTAGAGGTTAATCGACGATAAATTTGAATGACTGTAAGTTTTGGTATGGGCAGATACTTCTGGCTCATCTGCAGAGTTGTGTTATTGTTCACTTGTTAGCATTCGTGCTGACTGACATACAGCTGTGTAATAACAAATATAGCAGAACAAAACAAAACGTAAAGCGTAGTGAGAAATACTATCTTTCATCCAGGAGTGATAGTCCACATGTTAGAACAAAATAGAATAGAATATTTCAGTTGGAAGGGACCTACAACGATCATCTGCTCCAACTGCCTGACTCTTTCAAGTTAAAGCATGTTATTAAGGGCATTGTCCAAATGCCTCTCAAACACTGACAGGCTTGGGGCATCGACCACCTCTCTAGGAAGCCTGTTCCAGGGTTTGACCACCCTCTCGGTAAAGAAACGCTTCCTGAAGTCCAGTCTAAACCTCCCCTGGCACAGCTTTGAACCGTTGCCATACATCCTGTCCCTGGATCCCAGAGAGAAGAGAGATCAGGACCTCCCTCTACATCCCCTCCTCAGGAAGCTGTAGAGAGCAATGAGGTTGCCCCTCAGCCTCCTTTTCTCCAAGCTAGACAAACCCAGAGTCCTTAGCCGCTCCTCATGGGACATGCCTTCCAGCCCTGTCACCATCTTTGTTGCCCTCTTCTTTTCATATTCAAATACCTGGGATCACAGAGACATGGTGGGAAACAGTCTCTTTAGGAAGGACAGGAGAGAACAGGTTTTTTAATGTGAGGGAACAGTTGGAATGCATGGAGCTCACCTGTGGATGGATGAGGAGCCAACTGAGAACTTATAGGTAAGGATTAAAGAGCAGACCAGCATGGGTGGCATTGTAGTGGGTGTCTGCTGTAGACTGCCTGACCAGGAAGAACAAGTGCATGAGGCCTTCTGCAGACAGCTAGAAGCCTCACATTTGTAGGCCCCGGTGACCATGGGGGACTTCAGCCACCACGATGTGTGCTGGAGGAACATGACAGGGCATAAGCAATGCAGGAGGTTCCTGGAGAGCATCAATGACAAATTCCTGACCCAAGTGATAGAGGAGCCAATGAGGAGAGGGTCTTTGCTGGACCTCATACTCACAAATGAGGAGGCACTCACTGGGGATGTGAAGGTCAAAGTGACTATGAGATAGTAGAGTTCAAGATCCTGAGAGGACGGAGCAGGGCAAAAGCAAGATCACAACGCTGCACTTCAGGAGAGCAGACTTCAGCCTCTTCAGGGATCTGCTTGTTAGAGTCCCATGGGATAAGGCCCTGGAAGGGAGAGGGGCCCAAGAAAGCTGGTTAATATTCAAGGATCACCTCCGTCAAGATCAAGAGCAGTCTGTCCCAAAGAGCTGGAAGTCAGGAAAAAACGCCAGGAGTCCTGCATGGATGAAGAAGGAGCTTGTGGCAGAAATCGTACGTAATAAGGAATTAAACAGAAGGTGAAAGCAGGGGCAAGTAACCTGAAGGGAATACAGAGACATTGTCTGAGCATATAGAGATGGGGTAAGCAAAACCAAAGCCCAGATGGAATTGAATCAGGAGAGGGATGTTAAAGGCAACAAGAAGGGCTTCTATACATACATAGGTGACAAAAGGAAGACTAGGGAAAATGTGGGCCTGCTCCTGAATGAGGCGGAGGACTCAATGACACAGGACATGGAAAAGGCAGAGATACTGAATGCCTTCTTCAGCTCAGTTTTTACTATCCAGACTGGCTTTCAGAAATCCCAGGACCTGGAGACCTGGGGGAAATTCTGGAGCAAGGAAGATATACCTTTCATAGAAGAGATGAAGTTAAGGAATTCTTAAGCAAACTGCGCATGCACAAGTCCATGGGCCCTGATGGGATTCACCCATGAGTGCTGAGGGAGCTGTTTGATGTCATTGTGAGGCCACTCTCAACAATCTTTCAATGACCATGGGAGAAGTGCCTGAGGACTCGAGGAAAGCAAATGTCACTCCTGTCTTCAAGAAGGGAAGTCTCCTTAGGGAGAGTAGGGAACTAGGGCTGGTCAGCTTCATCTGAAACATTGTGAAGGTGACTGGAACAACTAATTCTGGAAATGATTTTCTCAGAATCATGGACAACCAGAAAGTCATCAGGAGTAGTCAGCGTGGATTCACCAAGTAGAAGTCATGCTTGACCAACCTGGTCGCCTTCTACGATGAAGTGACTGGCTTGGTAGGTGAGAGGAGAGCAGTGGATATTGTCTACCCTGACTTTGGTCAGTTTTGGACACTGTCTCCTGTTAGATCCTCAGAGAAGCTGATGAAGTATGGGCTGGATGAGCAGACAGGGAGGTGGATTGAAAACTGGCTGAATGACCAGGCCCAGAGGGTGGTGATTGGTGGCACAAAGTCTACTTGAAGACCAGTAACTAGCTGTGTAGCCCAGGGCTCAATACTGGCTCCAGTTCTGTTCAGCACCTTCGTTAATGATCTGCATCATGGGGCAGAGTGTATCTTCAGCAAGTTTGCAGATGACACAAAGCGAGTTGTGCTGCCATCCAGAGGGACCTCGATAGGCTGAGGGAATGGTCTGACAGGGACCTCATGAAGTTCAACAAGGAGAAATGCAAAGTCCTGCCCCTTGGGGAGGAATAACCCCATGTACCAGGACATGTTGGGAGCCAACTGTCTGGAGAGCAGCTTTGCAGAAAGGGCCCTGGGGTTCATGGTGGCCACCAAGTTGAACATGAACCAGAATGCGCCCTTGCAGCAAAGAAGGCTAATGGTGCACTGGGAGGAGCGTTGTCAGCAGGTCAAGGGAGGTGATCCTTCCCCTCTGCTCAGCACTGGTTAGGCCACAACCTGCAGTACTGTGTCCATTGCTGGGCTCCCCAATAGAAGAGAGAGATGGAGCTACTGAAGTGAGTCCAGCAAAGGGTCACTAAGATGACTAAGGGACTGGAGCATCTCAGCATATGAGGAGAAGCTGAGAGACCTGGGACTGTTTAGCCTGCAAAAGAGAAGGCTCAGGGGGGATCTCATCAATGTGTACAAATATCAGAAGGGAGGTTATAGAGAAGACTGAGTCAGGCTCTTTTCAGTGGTGTCCCACAACAGAACAAGAGCCAATGGACACAAACTGAAACACATAAGCTTCCCTCCGAACAGAAGGAAAAACTTTTTCCGCTGTGAGGGTGACTGAGCACTGGAATGGGTTGCCCAGAGAGGTTGTGGAGTCCCCATCCTTGGAGATATTGAAAAGCTGTCTGGACACGGTCCTGGGCAACTGGCTCTAGGTGGCCCTGCTTGAGCTGAGGGGTTGGACCAGATGACCACAGGTCCCTTCCAACCTCAACCATACTGAGAGTCCCAGACTCTGGATATCCCAGCAAACTGGTCAGTCCTGGATTAACCTGTTTCTTAATGACATCTGTTTGCAACACTGTGCTTCCTAAAGTAGGTAGATATTGGGCATTGTTCTCCAGCCCACTAAGTGGATTGTAGCAAGGAGACTTTGTCTCTTCACTGTTGTTCTCTTTTGAGGGTAGTCTGCTGAGTCGTGCATTATTTGGAGAGGAGAGCACTCTGAAGAAGATAAATAAAATTAGGGTGCCAAACCAGACCTAAGACTGTAGACAATGACTGGGATATGTGTCCTGACAGACCACTTAGTGCCCTCTACTCCAGAAGTGAAGATTGCAACGTCTAGGTTGATAGTGTAACATTCCCTGGCATATCTGTCTGAGGGTACCACTAGCTTCAGACCCTGTCCTGACCTGGTCTGGGTGTGCTTGGAGAGGACGAGATACAGGTTTTTTTAAATTCTCCTTACCCCTTCAGGTTTACTATGTAGTGATCAAAGGACCTGATTCGTTCTGGTCATGCCCTTAGCACCTGTGGCTTTGCTATTCTTGGTCCCATTATGAACCTCATGCCCTGCTGAACTGTGGTTCCAAAGCCCTCCTCTCTGTAGAGCATTTACTCAAGGTGAAGATGAAGGGAAGAGCCATCTTGTGCTATTTCAGCAACCACCTCTTCTCAGTACATCAAGGCCCTTATTATGACTAAGAGCAGGCAGACACCATCGTGTAGCAAGTGGCACTGATCTTGTTTCATTTTCCTCATTACTCCCAGAAGCACTTTGCAACCAATAAGGTTGGTGGTTCAGTTATACTTACTGAACTTAAATTCACATTCAGAGCTTCCTCCTGTTACCAATAAAAGAGCTGAACAGAAGCTCTGCACTTCATAGCAAAATAAAGGGAAAGGAGCCCTTCCCTTGGGGATTCATGTCCGACCTGCTTATTTTAACTGCAGAAAATTGAACATCTCTGTTCTGACTTTTAGGTAGATAGGCAACGCAAGATATTCAAAATGTTCTTCCGGGAGCGAGGGCTTTGTGGGCAGCAGGAGGGTTTTAATACGTTCCTAGATATGTTCATAGAACTGTATGCATTCTGCAGATCCTGTTAGAGTTCAGTGTGCCAGGCATCCTCAGGCAGGTGGTATCTGGGTGGGTCCGTGAAAAATCCTTGTGTCCTCTGTACTCTGGCAGTTACCATTATAGCACCATCTCTCTTTTCTGCTTATGATCCTTATGAGCATACTATAGCATCACGGATCTGAGTCAAGATAGGTGGGCCAGTTAATTTGCAGCAAAATGACTTCAGCTTCAACTTAACACTCTAGGAAGTAAGGTTGTAAAGGTAGGCCAATGTGAATACAGCCATCGAGGATAATGCCTATGTATTATGGCCTCAATGTGAAAACATGAGTGCAGGAAAAAAAAGAGTATGTTGACCTAATCTGACTTAATGGCTTCTGAATTGCTTCATCTGAATGTTCAAATTTAGGTTGTTAAA